CAGGTGAAAACTACATCGAAATAGAATCAAGTATTATATCGAATTGTATACAACTTTGACTAACGCTTTTTTTTTATATAGTTTTTCAACAATGAAATGCAATCGATTTTTAATAAACAATCTTGATTTTTTTTGTATATTACATGCATAGAAAAGTTTAAAATTGTATATCTATGTCAGTAATAAAATTTAATCTCAAATAAATAAAAAAAATCGAATGTAAGAATATCAAGTATTTAGCTATAGTCTGAAGAAAAAAAACAAAGAGTTTAACACAAAAAGATTCTGAATTTTTAGATGACCATAGTGTATTTTAGACTTTTATACTGTAACTGACCTTGCAAAACTAAAAGAAAAAAAAGACTACTATTTAGGAAACAATAAGATGAAGATATCATGAAACTGCGACAATGTAGGACAAACTTATATGATGAACTTCTAATAATATGATTTATAAGTAAATATCATAAAGTTTATCTATTATGATTATGAATCGGTATACTTAAAGTAATAATTAAATACTCAATATGAGATCAAACTAGACCACAAATATTATTATCAATTCTTATTATAACTTTAGATACATCGCATCAATAAGATCAAGTCAAGTTTTTAGGATTTTTTTTCTTTCGTATGAACATACATGAAATAAATATTTGTTTTTCTTTTGTAAAAGGTAAATTAAACTCTAGTTATATTTTCTGTTGTACATGATGGTGGCGATTGCCATTTTATTTGATTATAGAAAATAGAACATGAATGATTATTTATAGATTTGATATATCTAATATTATAATAAGAATTATAACTATAGTTGCGATTTAGCTTGATATAGTATTGATTGTGTAATTATTGTTCTAATTACACTAATTCATATTTATTCTAAATAGAATTTATGATATTAATTTATAAATCATACTATAATAGGTTCTTAATATATATTAAATCATGTGTTGCATTATTGTACTTTAACAGTATCTTCATCTTATTGTTTCTCCAACTATAATCTTATTTGTCTTTTTTTCCTTTGGTTGTGTAACGTATCTCAAATTCTCCAAATCTAGAAATTATAGTGGTCATCTGCGAGATCAGAAGTTCCTTTTTTTTGTTCTTTCGTATAAATATATATTAAATAAATAAATTTGCTACATTTCATATTTTATTGTATGGAACTATATCAAACTCTAAAGATGTTATATACTATATATGATGATAGTCATAATGCTAAATTTATTTAGAGTAATGGATTTGCAGGTGAATCTAAATAATTAAAATGATGACTTCTTTGAATATTCTTTATCAAAAACTGGATATAAAGAATTCATAGAAATAAATAAATAAATAAAAATAACATCTATTATTTTGTTAATTATTTCATTATTAAACAATTTTTGTTGTTAAAAGCATCTAGCATATACTGAGATGTGTTTAATAGCATTTTAAATAAAAACGTCTTTCACAATTTGAATATATCTAGTCGTTGCTATACGGATATCGTTTTCTTCTTTTTATCACGTGCGCTTTCATTTTTTGAATTCAAAACATGGACACGCTTTTTTTGTCGTCAATTATAGGATATATAATAACGAATCAATCTAAGAGTATAAACAATAAAAATAATCATTTTGTTTGTTTGCGTGATCGTTTTTCATTCATTAGAATGCACCAAAAACGCTTTCGATTAAAAATTTGCAGATATTTTTAGATCATGCAACGATCCAAGTCGATTGAAAGCATCACATCAGCAACATCATCATGTCGAGGTGGAGAAAAAAAAACTTCACCAACACATATGTTAATTCAAAATGAAATCGATAATAAAATTTTGTTGTTGCCAGTAGCCCATTTGGTTAATAGTTCAGTAACACGTATTAAAATTAATGCTACAGCAACATTCAAAAAAGATATTGATGATCGAAAGCAACATCGAGGAAAGATTATTCAGTTGGGTGAGTGTTCAAGAATCGTACATATTTTTTTTTGTCATTTTCCTGTTTCATAGGAACCAAGGAAATATGTATGGAGCAGCTTCAAGTTTTTGAAATGACAGCTGATGCTAATGAAGAAAGTACAACTGATGATGAAATTAATCAAATAAATAAAAATGAAGAATATGACAAAAAAAAAATGTCCTAGTAAGTGTAAACAACAACACTAATACAACTTAGTCAAAGTTTAGAATGAAAAATTATTCAACGAAGTACATAGTGAATTAAAAACACAGTACTTCTTGTTCCAGTGGTAAAAAGATCTTGTCAGAAAATTTTCTTTATTATAGCTTTCATGTTTATAAATAAGAATCTCATAACTTGACACTTGACTAAGAAGGTCATAATGAAACATTCTTGTCTGATACGTGCTTATTAATGCTCGCCAACAAGGAATTTAAAATATATTGAGCTTTAAATCTGTGTCATAAAAATTTTAGTAGCTGCTATGAAATAAAAACAAAATTTTCAAATAATTAAGTTTCATATTCGAAAGAAAAATAGATGATTTTATGAAAGATTCAGCCGATTTTCTATCTTTAACTAGATCTTTCAAGAATCTTGAGATTGCTGTTGGTGCGTACAATTAGAATTCAAATAGAGTAATTTTCTGATTTTTAGAAAAACAACAAACAGCATCGCGTGGCGAATACGAATACAGCAGCACAAGTTCCAATTCAAGTATTTCGGTTAGTTCCAAGAATCAAACAACAAATATTATGAAAAAGAAGCATGATATGAAATCAAAACTTGTTCAAATCGATGAAGGAGGTAAGTCAAACAACATCATATAAATTGAGTAGTTTAGTGTTGGACTCTGTTCATTAGTTAATGAATCAAATGGTAATGAAGATCAAGCATGTCGTATTGCAACAAATAATTCATCAAATGATAAAATACCATCAACAAAATCTATACATAATTCATCAACAATCAAATCTAAAAATAATACAAAAGCTTCTTCAATGAATGGTAACTATATCTTAATTACAAGCTCGCTTAATTTTGATTTATCTCATAGTATTTCAAACTGAACACCGAAATGAATCATCACAACCTTCCAATAGTCAAATAATTATTAATGTTCAACCTCGAAGCGTCAACAATTGTCAAAATGATGCTACAGTACTCGATTTTTCAAGCTCAGGTTTTTATGATTATTCATAATGTTAGTGTAATTGTAAATACTTGGTTCATTTCATAGGACCAGAAGAACGATTATTTGATATAAGTAACACAGAACTATTGTGTCGGTACGAATATCTGTCAAAGAGATGTAATGAGCTTTCAAAAGAAAATGCTGATTTATCACGTGAATGTGATCGTTTGACACAAGGGATTCAAATGTTAAAAAGAACGACGATGCGTAAGTGTATAGTTTTTTACTTTTATTTTTATAGTTTTATTAGAAAGCGTAGAATAGAAAAGATGTTAGAAAAATATCTTGCCATGTATGACTAGATCTTCATGATCAAGTCTATAAAGTCAGCATCAATACAAATTCACGTTAAAGAACTTTGGGTATCTCGATGCCTCCAGATATAAATGAAATATTATCAATGATAGCCAGAAATTAAGCATTAATGTGTTATTCATTTTGAAAACTAGAAAAAAAAAGAATGACGAAAGAGTCTTCAAACGATACCAAAAAAATAATGATTGTATAAAACGTACTTTATTATGAGCTACTCATGTTCTATCTATCAATAATAGCGTGCTCTTCAAAAATATCAATGCTAGCTGGAGAAACTTTTATGAATGAGATAAAGCTAGTTTTTACGAATTCTGAAGAGAACATTTTAAACTTCTCAGTAACATATAAATATTTTTTATTAAACACAAACAATATTAAAACTTAGGTAAATTTTTAGCCATACCTGATGCTGCAGGACGTCAATGGTTTATCAATATGGGAAAATTTTTTGCTAATAAAGCACCTGATTCAGATATTTCGAAATATGCAACTGCTTTGGACATAAATGATCCACGAGATCTAATTGATTGCATAGAAGATACAACATCAAATACAGCTCGACAAGTAATTCGACTTTTATATTCACCGAATCAATTGTTAACTATGACAGGAACAGAAGTACCGAAAAATACACGATCGGCAATTCGAGGTAACTAGATTTTTTTCTCATTGATAACAAAAGATTTACACTTATATTTTTTCTTTGAATAGAATTTGCTGAATCACAAAAAGGTCCAATATCAAAGCGCCAATTTAATGAAGCTATTAATGGTGTATTTCGAGCAACAAAATGTGAAGTCAAAAAAAAAAAGAAGAAAGAAAATAGCTTAATGGTATCAGAAAGTAACAGCAACCTTGGCAAGCACATCAATTGTCAGAATAAAAGCTATAAAACTTCAAAACAAATGATGAATAAGCATCAACGTTCAACATCAACTGATTTAAATTCCAATAAAGAAAATCATAATGGTGAAGAAGATCCAACAGACAGTCAATGACAACAGATTTTTTTCTTATATGTTCTTTCACTTTAAATGATCTATTCTCTTACATATACTGATAATAAAGCATTATATTTAGACTAGAACTTATGATAAATCTTTAAGTTGCGTGCAATTGTAGATGTTCTCTAGAACCACCTTATGGCGTCGAAAAAAGCAACTTAAAATTTTTTTGAAAGAAATGATAGCAAAGAATGTTTCATTATTCGATGAAAAGTATTTTATTAATTGTATTAGGTCACACACAAAGTATGATTTCTATAATTTAGCTTGCTCGATTCCACATTGTCAAACCTTTCGAATAGTAATACTGATGAAAGCTTACATCAGGTACAGCATTTCAACCATTTCGAAAGTAAACCTACATTCTTTACTTAGAATTATCATTCTAATGTGCCAATAGCGAATGATGGATCACAGGATGTATCAGATATGCATGAAGATCAAATGTGGCTTGAAGAATGTGTGGATAATGATCCTTGGAAAAATGTAGAAATTGCACCAATGTTTCAATATCCTGTTATGGAAAATGACTTTTTATCTGATGAAAGTAGTCAGTAAGTCTTAATAGTATATTTTTTTCCTCATTAGACTGTAATGCATTTGTTATATATATAGGACTCCTCCAGAGAAAGATATTGCTGCAGCGCTTGTCTTATTGAAGGTATGGTTATATTTAGAAGAGAAATGGAGTGATATTTGTAACAGTTATATCTAAGATGCTCTTTAGCTATATAAATCTGAAAACAATACGCACAAGAAACTCGTGGAATGTAGTCTTGATTTTTATTTGAACTCAAAATAGTTTTTATGCAAGATACATAAATAAAACCCAAGTTCTTTTGAAGAAAAAAAGAATATATATGATTGATTTCAATCGTTTTATTGAGAAGTAGGATGTATTCTACCACTTATCACGTATTCTATAATAGAACCAAAATATTCATTGTTTGTATCTCGAATAAGTTAGAATAAAAAAAAACTTAATGAAATCATACAGACACTTAACCATCGCTTAATCTTTATTATTATATAATTTAGTTTATATTTGTCTGAATTATATGAATTATAATTATCTTCAAGGAAAATTTGTTAATACAGCTTGCGTATATTAATATTTGAAACACAAAACAATTCTCATTGACATTCTCAAAAAGAGAATTGCCAAGTTGTCTGTCAAGGTCTCTAAGAGGAGTAGAAATAAACTTCTAACTTTATAAATCAACACTTGTTGTATCATCTATTTGTCAAAAAAGTCCTCATTATTCAGATGAGAGTTGGAAATAATAATTTATTGTAAAGATTTTCCTAAGATGTCTTTGCTAATGTAGAGAAATATTAAGAATTTAATCTTTATAAGCCCAGATATTATAATTTCATTTTCTAAAGGTTTTGCATAAATTTTACTTTAATTTTATTCCGAAAATATGTCTAATACTAAAAATATCATTTATTTTTGTAACAGATCCGTCATCGAATATCAACTAAAGGTATTGATGATTTATGTAAACTATTAAAAATGTTAAAAATGTCAAAGGCTCCGAAAAGTTTTTATCGGATTAAACGTCTATTACTACCAAATCCTTCTGCACCAACTTCTGAATTTGTTACTTACATTTGTCCAGTTTGTTGTGAAGCAACAACATCATTGGATCACTGCAGTAACGAGCATTGTACACAACATAAACGTTTTCATGCACCACCTTTGTATTATTTACGAATGCCAATTCTTCAACAATTACGAGAAATTCTTGATCATGCACCACCATTAAATTTTGAACAACAGCAAGAAAAATCTGCATCAAATAGTGATGTAATAAATGATATATATGATGCAGAAGCCTACCGAAATATATTAAAGAAAGAGGCAGGAAAAAAATTTTTGTCTCTAATAATGAACGTAGATGGTATTCAAATTGCTAAAAACTCTAATTTATCTCTTTGGATATTCACTTTTGTTATTAACGAAGTCAAACGAAGCGAACGCTTTAGGCTTAAAAACGTCATTGTAGGCGGTATTGTATCAGCTGTATCAAAGCCCGATCGTCATCAGATGCAAGCATTGTTATCACCCATTGTTAAGGAACTTCTGGTATTGGAACAAGGTGAAATTTTTACAGTGAGAGGTCTAAATGAAAGCTCAAAATTGCATCTGAAAACATTTTTAATTGCATCGTGCTGCGATAAACCGGCACAAAGTTTAGTTCAAGGAATAAGTGAACCTACCGGAGCGTTTGGCTGCGGGCGTTGTGAACTACAAGGTAAATTTCTATGTATTCATAATTTTCTTTTGTTAATGAATCGTGTTGCTATTTTAGGTGAAACAGTGGCTATCAAAAAGAATTCACGAAAAAAAATTCGAGTTTTTCCTCTTATTCCTGATCACCAAGGACAACCACGTTTACGTACAAATAAAACTTACGACATATTTATGAAGGTTTACGCACAAGAACGTTTGTTAAATCACGTTGAGCTTCGTGATCGTTTACGAGGTCATATAAGTCCTTGTGTTCTTCGAGAGTTGACTTACTTCGATGTTGGAACTAGTTTTTTATCAGATTCGTTGCACAACGTATATCATGGTGTAATGGTAAGTGACCTTTGCATTGTTTTTCTGTGTGATAAACAAAATATTCAATCTTTTGACGTTCGCTAGATATTACAAGGACTCTATATAATCATAAAATTTTTCTTGCTAGCATTTGCTGTAGAGAAAAATGAATTCATTAGCATTGAAGTTAGATAGTAGATATGAAATTCATGAGAGAATTATCGCTTTGTTGCTACAGATTTGAAACATTTAACATGAAAAAATTTAAGTTCACCTTATTCAAAAGTAATGCCCAAAGATTAATGATATAAATCAATATCTGTATTTTTGTTCCACTAGCATAGCATTGCCTTTTACTCATATTGATTCAATTGGAAACAATCAAATCTTCAAACTAGTCCTCAGAAAATTTAAAATGCAAGAAATGTAAAAAAAAAACTCGATAGAAATTCATTCTGTAGGATGAAATATGTATATGTTGCGGAAAAAATGCCTAAGCTGTGTTTCTGCAGAGGAAGGCTAAATTCATATAGAATTTATATTTATAGATTTTCGCGTTTTTAGTTTTAATAGAGTTTAAAATGAATAACTGATAACTATTAAACAGAAAAATACATACCAATGTTTATGTGAATTTGCAATGTAGACCACGACCATACAATATTCTATAGACTCATACGTCTACCATACAGTTATGAGTTTTGCATCAATGATTCATTTCCACGTAATATCAATACTATATTCGTTTAAGTCACCTCTTATATATTCTACATGATTGTTAAGCATATGAACTAAAGAAAATACTTCTCAAATATTTTTCTTTCAATTTTTGGATCATTGTATCGAAATTCATGTTATAAGATGCACAAGAAAATAAAAATGCATCTACTCATTTCACTAAATGTCATCGTTTCATTGAAGATCATTGGTTAAAAATAAAAATAGTTCTTACTTCGAATTTTTTCTCATTTTTCTATTATAGACTAGAAATATTAGATTAATATCTAAATCCTTTTTGTTTAGAAACGCTTACTTCATCTTTGGTTTAATAAAAAATATAGAAAACAACCATGGAGTATTTACTCTAAGTTAAATGTAGTTGATCGTTATTTATCTTCAATAAATTATCCATCAACAACTGTTCGTATACCTCGTTCTTTATCAAAATACGAACAGTACAAAGCGAATGAACTTCGAAGTATTCTACTATTTGGTTTTCCTGCTTTATGTTCCGTCTTACCATTTCGATATGCAAGACATTTACTTTTACTTGCCGTTGGAATGCATATTTCTGAATCTCGTTGTATTCATCGCACACAGCTTGAAGACATCCACCTATTGTTCCATCGTTTTCTAAAATTGTTTCCAACTCTTTATACTCCACGATTTAATTCTCAGTCTGTTCACAGTTTGCATCATATAGCTGCAAGTGTAACTGAATACGGTTCGTTGAGCAATTACTCAACTTTTAATTTCGAAAACGTTCTAGGTATAGCAGATCATCACATAACTCTATATTTGATTCTATATTATGTAATAATCTTTTTTCTTATTCTAGGTTTAATAACTTCTACTGTTCATTCTACTCGTCGGCACGCATGTGAAATTTACAATAACTTGAAAATGCTTCGTTCAGCTATTATTGAATTTGATCGTCCTTCATTCAACAGCAATTTAAAGCGTTTCATTAATATTGCTCAATCTTTCCAAATCTTTATAGAGGAAAAACAATCAAAGTTTGAAAAGCATAAGAAACAAATATTAAAGTTAACCAGCGTCATTAATAACATTAGAATATAACTGAATTTTTTTTCTCCTAAACGATCCGGCTAGCTTTATCTGAATACAAAAAAATTGTATTGATACAGTAGATGATAGTTCTA